CTCCAATTCGAGTAGGCTTGGAGGTCTCGGCCCCGGAACCCGCGTGGCTTTGTCCCTCTGCCAGTACCTTCATGTGTGCGGAGAGTGGTCTCAGCATGGTGGTGGCTGGTCCTGGAGGTCTTCGGCTGCTGGAGCCCTGGTCGGGGCGGGGAGGAAAGCTCAACCCGCTCCCCTCCAAGGGGCTCCGGGAAGGAACACCCAGGCGCGGGGGCAGAAGACTGCACTGTTCTCATCCGGGATCTGGATTTTATAGTCTCTGAGTCTTGGCCGCTGATGGGATTACACGGCGCCAGGGGGCCAGGTGGTGGGTGTGACCCCCACCTACTGGAACTTGGAGGATCTGGGTGGAAGATGCTCGACTCCAATTCAAGTAGGCTTGGAGGTCTCGGCCCCGGAACCCGCGTGGTTTTGTCCCTCTGCCAGTACCTTCATGTGTGCGGAGAGTGGTCTCAGCATGGTGGTGGCTGGTCCTGGAGGTCTTCGGCTGCCGGAGCCCTGGTCGGGGCGGGGAGGAAAGCTCAACCCGCTCCCCTCCAAGGGGCTCCGGGAAGGAACACCCAGGCGCGGGGGCAGAAGACACAGCTGAATGGACACCAGAATTTATCTTTCTGATCAAGTGACTCTTACAAAAGACAGTGATAATTCTACAGGGTCATTTTAATTTCTACGAGAGAATAATGTGTCCCTCAGGCCCCGGAGAAGTCATGATACTGTCACTGGAAACTTTTCATCAGGAGAGAGTGTGATAAGTCATTACTGCCCACAGCGGGGATGGAGGACTCAGGGCCACAACCCACAGGACAAGGTGCCCATGGGGCCATCTGAGAGCTGAGAGGCAGGTCAGTCCTGATCTCCACAGAAAGATGATTCATCTGGGCACCAGCAATGTCTCCTCAAGGGAGAGTCCTCAGAACCTCCTGGGGGCCTGCATCCCTGAAGCTCACCCTGCTTCCTCCTGCAGGTGGTTTGTGTCTGGGCCCACACAGCCTTCCCTTCACTGTGTTTCTCGCACAGTAGTACAGGGCTGTGTCCTCCTCCCTCAAGTGGCTCATTTGCAGAGAGACCCTGTTCTTGCTGTTGTCTCTGGAGATGGTGAACCGGCCCTTCAGAGTCGGCATAGTATACATATTTACCAGTACTAGTTATGCTTGAGACCCACTCTAGGCCATTCCCTGGGGCCTGGTGGACCCAGTACATCCAATATTTGCCAAAATTGAATCCAGAGGCTGCACAGGAGAGTCTCAGGTTCCTCCCGGGCTGCACCAAGTTTTCCCCAGACTCCACCAGCTGCACCTCACACTGGACCCCTGCAAACACAAAGACATCCTGGTCAGGAAACTCTCCTCACACAGAGGATCTGCCTTTCCCATCTCTTCCATGCTCCATGTCTCTGTTGCCCATGAGTTACCTCCTAACACAGCCACCAGGAGAAGCCAGCTCATCCCACACGCCATGTTGGTTCTGTCTGAGTCAGGATGGAGCCCCTGGAACTTCTGAACTGACTCCTCTCCTTGACCTGAGGCTGGCCGGGATATTTTTATCACTGAGGAGAGTGCCTTATTTGCATGCCCTACTTCTCTATAAAAAGTCATCTTTGAACTGGTAGAGAGAAGGGAGGACTCCAGAGCAGGTGAGAGTTTCTGGGGGTGCCTGCAACCAGGATAAGATTTAGAAAAAATGCATTTTCCAGTATACATTACTACATGGAAACCAATGAATTGATGTTCTTTAATATTTATTTTATATAAATCCTGCAGTATTTATAGTATTAATTCTATTTCATAATATAATATGACACATAAAAGCTAAAATGATTTGTGCAATATACTCAAAATACATTTTAAGAGTTGTTCCCACTACTTCAGCAAAAGTAATCCACTGAGTCACTCACAGTTATCAATGTTTTGGGAACCAAGTGTTAAGATAGAATCAGTAGAAAGGCAGAATGGCCAGGTAACAGGCTCTGATATCTATAACGACAGTGAGGCAGGCTCCTATGTCTGCCAGAGAAACATCTCAGTGGTTAAAGGTCTAAGGCCCTTGAATGTGTAAGTAAGAGCTTAACTCAGACAGACAAAGTTAGAAAAACGACCTAAGAATGCCGTCTCCTGACGATTCCTGATTCTGAGAAGTAACTCTTAATGTGTTGGGCATTTGGAGTTCTCAATCCACTTGGGAGTTAATCCCCTGAGCAACACCCTTTCTCATTTCAGTCTGTCTGTTCAAACTCACAGAATCCCACGGTGGTCCCTGTTCACAAGGATTGTCCCTGTAACTAGAGATGATGCAGAGGATGTAGAGGGGGAAGGTTCCTCCCCTGCATGTTGTTATTCAGGTTGATTCCCTGACCTTCACATGGCTTCACATGCCCCTACCAGTAGTGATCTCTGAGCACAGAATCAGAAGTATACCAAGAAATGCAGAAATAACACAACCAAATCAGCAGTAACTGAGAGATAGTACAGTGGTAGGGCACTTGCATTGCACACGGCTGACCCAGGTTCGATCCCTTATATTCCACGAGGTGTCTGAGCACCTTTAAGAGCAATTCTCAAATACAGAACCAGGAAGAACCTCTGAGGATGAGCGGGTCTGGCCCCAAAACTAAAACCAAATGAACAATAAACCCAAACCAGCAACATAAATAAAATATGGGCTAGATAGCTGTCAAGAACTTTTTCACTGTAATGAGAACAGGATGTCTCTATTGTGCATTCACCTGGAGTATGTTGGGGACCAGGGTGCATGGAGGTGCATGGAGTGTGACTCTTCACATCAATTTTGGCTCCGTCTTTCCTTCTTACCCTGTAAGCAATTGATTAGCAATAAAATTCAGAACAGGCCATGACCTAAACAGAATACTGTTTATAGATCATTAATGTTTTCTGAGTACTCACATATATGGAGGTGCAATGATCATCACACCCAAAAGAGTGGATGAACCCCTCACCCCAGTGTTTCCCCTTGACCCATGGTATTCCTCCCCCCATGTCTCACCCCTCCCTCATGCTCTCTGCAGTGACTCCTGTTTGTGTAAATGTTTGTAGGGTGTGATGACGGAGACTCACTCTCAATAGCCTTCCACTCTAGGAATATATTATGGGTTTTTACTCATGACTAAAGGCATATTGGATTACTCTCAGTCCAAGTATTTAAACCTTGGACTATTTAAACCTTTAAAATAGGTCACACGATCTTTCTAGAAGGAGGGAGAATAATGAGGAAATGCTGTTCTGTATCTTACATGAGTATCAAAGAGAAAGCTATAAAAGTAATAACAAACCAGGAAAGCACCTATCAATATTCACCCTGCCAGGCGTTGGAGTCCTGGGGGCGTGGTGGGGTGAGTGTGGGGGACAGGGAGGACAAATCACAGGAAGGGGGTTTGGAGTGTGAGGGTGTCACTGAGAGTGGAGCTGCTCTGGGAGCGACGAGGAAGGGTCCTAGGAAAGATGCTGGAACTGGGCATGGATGGGAGTGGGAGGGGGTGATGGGGCTGAATGTCTCTCTGCGTTGTGACAGAATATTGGCCCCTGTGGGCTTCTAGCACATGGTGACCCTCTTTGGTTCCCTGGTGGGCTGAGGCCTTTTCAGAGGTGGCTCCCGAGTGCCCTCAGGTGGTTGGTAGCGCCCTTGCAGCCCCTTCCTCATGGAAAAAGTGCATGGAGTGTGACTCTTCACACTTACTGCCCCCATGTGGGGGTCACTCATGCCTGAACCACATCGCAGCTCGCAGAGACCTTAGAGTAAGCCTGGGTTACAGAGAAAGGGCAGGAGAGGGGAAGTCGTGAGATGCTGAGAAAGAAAATGACTTGTGAAAATCAATGTCACTGTCAGTAGTTTACAATGGATGTTTGATTCATAGATCAGTATAATTCATAAGTCCAGGTAAGTATCAGTATTTTGGAATACAGTCAAGAAATTTGACATCTTGTGAAAATGTGAATGACAAGTCTGTGAACAGAAGTACTCCTTCTTCTGATGTCATTGTATTCACTGTCTTTGAATATCTGAACATTTTTCTCAAGAAAATGAATTTTTTCTATAAATGTGACACCATCCAGGCCATTCAGGTTCCAAATGGACTAAAATCAGATGCAGAAGGAAGGAACTGTTATTCCTGCGTCCTTCTGGGCATCTCAACTCATCTACCCGCTGTCTGGGGGACACAGCCTGAGGGCCCTGGGTCTTAGAGTGCAGAATGAGAAGGACTCGTTCGCCTGATTTCCTGGTTCCCAGCACGCAGAGGGCACAGCACGAGAATAATTAATCATCATTGACGCAAGTTTTTCAAATGGTATTTTTGTTGGCAATTAATGAGCATTCTAGCTACCAGGATCAGTATTTTAATTTTATCCAGTTCAGTTGTTACGCCCACAGCATCTTCCTGAACTTAGACACTAGTGAATGACAGGGCCCCTTCCTGAAGGCCCTGCAGGCGAGTGCCCAGGAGTGAGCTGAGGGGTGTGGGCTGGAACCACCCCCCAGTCCTCCTGAAGCCCCTCCCTAAGCCCTGCACAGAGGGACACGGCAGAGTGAGCAAGAAGAGGATGCTAAGGGGTCACAGGTGGTTCTTCAAGTAACCAGGCACCCCCTGACGGGAGACTCGGCTGAGCCCATCTCTGGGCATCCCTGAGCACCGGAGTGAGACTCTCCAGGGAGCAGACAGAAGGGGAGTGTGCGAGGTCACTGCGGGGAGGGTCAGAGACCTTTACCCCCATATGGTTGGTAGGAAACAGTGGGTGCAGGAAGTGTGAGACCCTGGAGGAAGCTGGTACAGAGATTTGGGGGAGATTTGAGAATGGGCCTGTCCTGAGAGTGAGTGATGGCAGGACAGGAGCCCCTGTGCAACCCCGCAGTCACTCTGAGTACAGTGTGGGTTAGTTACTGTGCTGTTAGGATTCCCTTTGTGGGCCTGACCCCTCCTGGTCTCTGTGCCCCTCTCAGTCCTGAGCGCCCTCTGGTGGCCCTAGAGAGCCCAGGGTGCAGCCCAACCTGTCTCAGCAGGTTTGTGTCTGGGCTTCCCCTGATTTCCCCTCACTGTGCGTCACTGTGTCTCTTGCACAGTAATAAACAGCTGTGTCCTCGGGCGTCTCTGAGCTCAGCTGCAGGGAGAACTGGTTCTTGTTCGTGTCTCTGGTGATGGAGACGCGGCTCTTGCCGTAGCTGGTGCTTCCATCCCAACATATACGCCCCAACCAGAGCAGGCCCTTCCCTGGGGGCTGACGTAACCAGTCCCAGCAGTAACCATAGGTTGTGATGGAGAATTCAGAGACAGAGCACGTGAGGGAGAAGGTCTGGGAGGGGGTCACCAGGCCTGGGCCCGACTCCTGCAGTTGCACCTGGGACAGGACACCTGGGGACAAAGAGAATCAGTAACTGTCAGTTCCTGCAGTAACTCTCTCCTCTTGACCCTGTTACATCTGGGACACTCACCCAGGGGGGCTGTCACCAGGCAGAGGAGAAGACCCCACAGAAACATCTTCTCGACCACAGCTCTGCCTTCCACAGACTCAGCCCTGAGTGAGGAGACAGCTGTGAGCCCCACAGCCCAGAGAGCATTTGACCACAGAGCTAGAGAGGAATTTGCATGAGGTTACCTACTCTGTCATTAGCTGATAGCTCTGACCTCAGGTTCTGTTTGTTCCATTGGGTGCTGAACTCACACACCCTCTCTGGTGGATTGAGCACGGGTCTATGGGGCACATTGAAAGAGTCCATAGGAGGGTCCTGATTTATTCATCTTCATAATCAGAGATGAAAGGATCAAAATTCTCTCAATATCACAGGTCTTTCATATGTACATAAAATAGTTCACGTTTTTGCCCCGTCTCTTACCAACTCTAGAATTAACCCTTTTGCCTTTATTTAAACACCATGCTCTGTAAAGTTGTTCCTTACGCAGATGTAATGAGCTTTTGCTGTTCCCACACCAATCCCACCTCCAAGTGACCTTCCTTCCTCAATGTCCCCATTTCCCCAACCAGCCCCGCTAGCCTGCCCATGCAGCGGTTACTTCTATGTTACTTGTTACAATCAATTGACCAAAGGATTACAAAAATTACTTCAGTAAAAGGTGCTTAGGGATGCACAGTGGGTAGGGCCTTTGCCTTCCACCAGTCGCCCCAGGTTTCATTCCTCCATCCCTCTCGGAGAGCCTGGCAAGCTACTGAGAGTATCCCTCACTCACAGCCGAGCCTGGAAAGCTCCACGTGACATATTCAATATACCAAAAACAGTAACAACAAATCTCACGGTGGAGACGTTTTTACTAGTGCCTGCTCGAGCAAATTGATGAAGAATGGGATGACAGTGCTACAATGCTACTTCACTAAAACAACATCTGTGAAATAGCTCCATCTCACCACTAGCTGGGCTAGCGGGGCTTGTTGGGAAAATGGGGACATTGAGGAAGGAAGGTCACTTGGAGGTGGGATTGGTGCAGGAACATCAAAAGCTCATTACATCTGCGTTAGGAACAACCTTGCAGAGCATGGTGTTTAAATAAAGGCAAAAGGGTTAATTCTAGAGTTGGTAAGAGATGGGGGAAAAACATGAACTGTTTTATGTACATATGAAAGACCTGTGATATTGAGAGAATTTTGATCCTTTGTCGAATGCTTTGTTTGAGGATTTATAGCTATTGGTTGCTGATTGAGCCTTTGGTATCTTTCTTTTGATATGTTGAGTTTAGTTAGCTTCTATGCTGCTTTCTCATCTAGTTTGGTGAGCTTCCACTGGAACTTCAGTTCTGTGAAATGAGGAAGTGTTGGTCCATCCAGAAACTTTAGGATGTGTAGGACTGGGATGAGTATGAGGAGACTCTCTGTGCAGGCCTGGAGTTAGGCCTTGAGCAGTAGGTGTGGTGGGTCAGTGGGGGTGGATGAGGCTACTGGGCATTCAGCAGGGAAGGGACAGGGCCTGTGCCCCCTCTAGAGCACCCTCTAGTGCTCAGCCGGGGTCAGTGTGTCTGTGAATTCCAGCTGTTGGGCCTCCTGCAAGATTTAGGTGTAATCTGAGGAGCAGGGCTGGTGGGTGAGTGGGCATGAGGCAGCTGTGGTGGTGGGCATGGCTGCCCTAATATGCATATCTATCACTGTAACTGTCCCCCCGTTGTTCATTGATTTCCTCGAGCGGGCCCAGTAACGTCTCCACTGTGACACTTGTTACTGTGTTTGGCATATTGAATACGTCACAGGTAGCTTGCCAGTTTTTGCCGTGCAGGCAAGATACTCTCGGTAGCTTGCCGGGCTCTCAGAGAAGGGTGAAGGAATCGATCTCGGGTCGAACATGTTGGCTGCATGAAGGCAAACGCCCTACCCGCTGTGCTATCGCTCCAGCATATCTAAGATGTTATTAAAACTCTCATCATGTCTGAGATGCCAGGACAAACCTAAAGGACAGATGTGTTCCTCTCAACCCCCACTGCTTTCTAGGACAGAACGAGGGCGACTTCCAACGAGCCACAAGACAGAGAGAAGGGGGTTCAAATCCTGACTCTAGGATTGATGATTTAGAGTTGGGACCTGCTGGGCTTTGTTCTGGAGCAGACAATCATTATAGATTATATTTCAACTACCTCCAGCATATATTTAAAAATCGTTTTTCAGTGTTTCCTTTTCTTTAATTTTATTTTTTATGAAAAACATCACCTTTATTCTAAAGTCATGAAATTTACATACTTTTTGAAGTTATTCTATTTTTTTAATTTTTATTAGTGAGACACCATGAAGTACAGTTGTAGATTTACAAATTTTTGTGCTTGGGTTTCAGTTATACAAAGATCGAATACTCTCCCTCCACCAGTGCCCATTCTCCACCACCAGTGATCCCAGTATCGCTTTCACCCAACATCCCCCCGTCCCACCCTGCCTCTGTGGCAGGAATTCCCTTCTGTTCTATCTCCCTTTTGGGTGCTGTGGTTTGCAAAAGAGGCATTGAGTGGCAACCATATTCGGTCTACAGTCTACTCTCAGCACGCATCTCCCATCCTGGGAGGATCTCCCAACGCCCTTTATTTGGTGCTCCCTTCTCTATCTGAGTTGCCTTTTCCCCTAGCGTGTGTGGCTGGGCTCAAGCCATGGAGTAAACTTCCTAGTACTTATCTCGGCTATTCTTGGGTGTTAGTATCCTATTTAGTTACTTTTTGTTCCCCAGATTAGTGCAATCTTTCTATGTCTGCCCCTCTCTTTCTGACTCATTTCGCTTAGCATGATACTTTCCATGTAGTACTACTTGTATGTAAATTTCATGACTTCATCTTTTCTAACAGCTACATAGTACTCCATTGTGTAGATTTACCAAAGTTTCTTTAACCAGTCATCTGTTCTTGGGCACTCAGGTTTTTTCCACATTCTAGCTATTGTAAACAGTGCTGCAATGAACAAACAAATGCAGACGTCACTTCGACTATACTTTTTTTGCCTCTCTGGGATATATCCTCAGGGTCAAATATATTGCTGGGTCAAATGAGGGCTCAATTTCTAATTTTTTGAGAATCGTCCATACTGTTTTTCAAAAGGGCTGATTTTTTGGGTATTGAGTTTATAGCCTGCAACTTTACTATATAAGTCTATTGTTTCTAGAAGTTTCTTGGTAGAGATTTTAGGGTTCTCTTAGTATCATATCATCTGCAAATAATGAGAGTTGATTTCTTCCTTTCCTACCTGAATGCCCTTAATATCTTTTTCTTGTCTAATCACTAATGCAAGTACTTCCAGTACTATATTGAACAGCAGGGGAGAGAGTGGGCATCCTTGCTTCATCCCTGATCTTAGGGGGAAGGCTCTCGGTTTTTCCGCAATGAGGATGATGCTTGCTGTAGGCTTGTGGTAGATGGCTTTAACTATATTGAGGAAAGTCCTCTCTATACCCATTTTGGCAAGGGTTTTCATCATAAACGGTGCTGGATCTTGACAAATGCTTTCTCTACATCTATTGATATTATCATATGTTTTTTTTCTTTTCTTTGGTTGATATGATGGATTATGTTGATTGATTTCTGAATGTTAAACCATCCCTGCATCCCCAGGTTGAATTCCACTTGGTAATGATGTATGATCTTTTTGATGAGTTGTTGAATTCTATTTTCTTGTATTTTGTTGAGATTCTTTGCATCCATGCTCATCAGGGATATCGGTATGTAGTTTTATTTTTCTTGTGGTGTCTTTGTTTCCTTTTGGTATGAGAGAGATATGGGCTTCATAGAAACTGTTTGGGAGAATTTATGTTTTTTCAATTTCCTGGAAAAGCTTGAGAAGAACTGGCAAAATTTCCTATAAATGTTTGGAAAAATTCACTAGTGAATCCATCTGGACCTGGGCTTTTGTTTTTGGGAAGACTTTTGATTACTGTTTAAATTTCCTCGATATTAATAGACTATTTAGGTATTCTACATCTTCTTAATTCAGCCTTGGGAGATTATAGCAATCCAGAAATTTATTCATTACTTCTAGTTTCCCTTGTTTTGGGGCATACAGATTTTCAAAGTAGTCTCTGATAATCTTTTGAATTTCTTTGGTTTCTGTTGTGATATCCCCCTTCTCATTCGGTTTATTAGGGTTCTCCCTCTTTCTTTGTGAATGTTGATAGTGGATTATCTATTTATTTATTTTCTCGAAGAAATAGCTCTTGATTTCATTGATCTTTCAGATTGTTTCTTTGGTTTCTATCTCATTGATTTCTGCTCTAAGTTTTATGATCTCTTTCCTTCTGCCTGTTTTGGGCTCCTTTTCTTGATCCTTTTCTAAGATCTTGAGCTGTAAAGTCATCTTGTTCATGTGGGCCCTTTCTTCCTTCCGCAGAAATGCTTGCAGAGCTATAAATTTTCCTCTTAAAACGTCTTTAGCTGCATCCTATAGGTTCTGGTAGCTCGTGTCTTCATTCTCATTTGTTTCCAGGTATCTTTTGATTTTGTCCTTTACTTCCCCCCTGACCCACTCATTCTGCATTGAGTTGTTCAATTTCCAGGTATTGATTTGTTTCTTTGTGTCTGTGTGTGATTCACTTCTATTCTCAGTGCATCGTGGTCTGAAAAGATTATTGATACTATTGATATCTTCCTGATTCTATTGAGGTATGTTTTGTGTCCTAGCACATGGTCTTTTTGGAAAATGTTCCATGTGCACTGGAGAAGAATGAGTACTTTTTCTTTGGGGGGTGTAAAGCCCTGTATAGGTCTATAAGCCCTCTCTCTTCTATTTCTTCTTTCAAAGCCAATGTTTCCTTGCTGAATTTTGTTCTTGTTGATCTATATACAGAGGTGAAAAGGCAATGTTGAAATCTCCGGCTGTTATTGTGTTGCTAGCAATGTCCTCCTTAAGATCTGTTAGTAGTTGTTTTAAACATTTAGCTGTTCCTCATTAGATCCGTATATATTTAAGGGCGTGATTTCTTCCTGCTGTACATATCCCTTGATGTATAGAAAATAGCCTTCCCTCTTCCTTCTAATTTTTTTCAACCCGAAATTGATATTGTCGGATA